TATCGCAATAGTTTAACTTTTCTATTGAGAAAAGGTTATTTCGCAATACATATCGTTCTATCGCCCAGCTCTACATTCAAGTAAACAAAATCCGGGGTAAATAAAAAAGTGGTTTAAAAATTCTCATTGCAATCCTTCAAATTTTCTTCTCTGCAGAAAAACACCTGACTGGGTCATGAGCTGTTCTCTCAGGCTTTATTTAACTTTAGTCAAACTTGTTTTTCAGAGCAAACTAAGTGTAAAACATCAGAGTGAAACCAGCTGCTGGTGACTGCAGGTCGCTCACCAAAGTCTGAGTTATCTCTCTTGTCGAAGAACAGCTTGTTGCCCACTCTCTGCACGATGATGTCCCAGGAGTTGACTGAGCGCGTGCAGCACATCAAGGTGGCCAAGATGGCATCAGTGGCAAACACGTTACCCTGAGTCTTGGCCAGCTGGAGGGAGGAAAGAAAGAAATAATCATGTAAGAAAGCTGCCAAACACAGAGTTCAGACAGCAATGCATTTTCAGGCAAAGTATTTTTTACCTTGCGGATGACGGGGTCGTCGGTGGTAGTAACAGTGTGGAAGATCCTTTTGATGCTCTTCAGCTGCTTCTCGTTGCGGGTGGTGATTCGATCAAAAGCCTTATCGTAGTACTCCAAAGCACCACAGCACTCACTGCAGGAAATGAGAAGTGAAACCTCATCATCACCTGCATTTCCCCCCTATAATAATCTATGACAAACAGTGGCTCAGCTTCACCTACATGTCAAGGGGGTCAGACACCTCCATGTATCTCATCTTCATCAGTCTGGGGAAGTCCATCTCCTCCTTCACCTCCCAGTCACTCCTAACCTCCACAGAGGAGTCTCTGGGCTTCAGCTGCGCCTTCGTGAACAGACAGGGATGTCAAGAACAAAGTCAATAACACCAGAGTACAAACACACCTTTGAGTCTTAAAACCTTGAGATCACATTATCTTTAAAAATGGGTTTAAACATGATGTGAGCCACAAAAGCAATCATACCAGAAAAAATGTAATTCTTACTGTTGGCGAGGGCTGAGATTTAAAGCAGCATATGCTGACATTACTTTAAGATGCACTACAAAACTAGCCAATATTAAATGATACGAGGTCAGGCTCACTGGGATTTATTTACTTCTTAAGCTTATTTGTGAAACAGCCAGAGTGTGAAACTTAAATTTACGCTGTGGCCAATATTCTTTCTGGACTTCCAGTATCAGTTTAACTTCCAGTTATTTTCTTGTTAATTGTTAATTGTATAAAAATGAAAGAATCTAAAACAACCTGAAGCAAAAACACATGAACCTTCCCATTATTACATCACAAAAAATAGAGTTTATATTTCAACAGTAAATAAACACCTGGGATTTTTGGTCCCATTTCTGACGGACACCAAACTGCTTTTGGAACTTCTTCTGCAGCCGCATTCGCTCTCTGACAAGACAAAAACATGAGATCAAACTTCAAGATGTGACGATTTCACCGCCTGTGACCAAAAGCGTTCAGATGTGCTCTCCTCTCACCTCTCTTTCTGCTTAGCGCTCTTCGGGAGCGTCTGCATGTTGAACTGCGTCATGTTCCTGCGGTCTTTGTCCCTGCGCAGGTTCCTCTGTGAAAACAAAAACATACTGTTACCAAAGTCCTAAAACGTTAGATTAAAAACATTTAAATATCACCCACTCTGCGACGATCTGTCGTACCTGAGCAAATCTCATGCGGTTCCTCTGGTAAGCCGTCTTCTGGGTCTTGGCAGTGTCCACCAGCTGGAAGCTCGTCTCATCCTCCTCGTGAAAGTAGGCGTACTGACTGCCGCCTCCAAACTGAGAAGAATATTTATCTGAGGACAAAATAAACATAAACAATTAAGAAATCAGCAAGAAACCACAAAATAAATTTAAGGTTTTTTGATGATGTTTGAAATGCTTGTGCAAACAGAAAAGTAAATCAGAATATAAGAGAAGAAACTGTGATATCATACAAATAAAACAGATGTTGTGGTCTAATCCTGCTGATATTTTAATGAAACACAAGAAATTATCTTTTCCACATAATTTAGGTATAACAGATTTGCTTGAAAACCAGCTATATTCATCTAAAAACTTTATTTTAGATATAAGAAAATCAAAGAAAATCTGCCAAATAAAATGTACCAAAGAGGCAGATTTTGTACAGCTTGGGCTGTTCGATATAACGATATATATCGGATGACGATATAAAACATCTATTGTTTCCTATCACGCTATCGTTTGTTTTGTGGTGTCGTGAAATAAACTGTTTACGGCAATATTTGTTCATCGTTTTGATGGTCACTGTAGTGGCTATGTTCATTTCTTAAAGTTCTCTCTTTCTCTTATATTTAATATAACCACACTACAGATGGACAAGCGCCTGTTTTTATGTGTTGTCGTTAGCAACAACGACGGTAAAACCATCGCGTGGCTCCGCTGTCCGCTTGTTTGTTTTCCATGTAAACCTTTCACAATAAAGCTCAAGATCCTTTTCAAAATAAACTGAATCATGTGAAAGAATATGCAGAGAGTTTATAGATGAGAAGCAAAAAGAGCCATCAGGTGCTAAAAAATTAAACTTTAGACTCAAACGTTAGAACAGGCTTTTCCCCGCAGCACGCCGTGTAATAAATACAAAGAAAAACATCGGCCGTTACAACCTATGTGTAAGCTGAAACACACTGAAAGCTGAAAACACTTCACGCCAAGTCAAGCTGCCCGAGATTCACAGAATTTACAGAAAATGTTACATTTTTGTGATTTCTATCGTTGTCAGGACGATAAATGTCTTATATCGGGATATGAGATTTTGGTCATATCGCACAGCCCTATCTACAGCTGTGACTTACTTGTGTATCTCTTGTCTTGGTAAGTAGCTCCGGTCCAGTCTGCAACCTACCAGACACAAAACACACAAAGTCAGTAAAAAAAACAAACCCTGGAAAACCTTTTTCCTCTTTTCAGAGCAAAACTGATAACAAACCTTTCCCAGACGATCTCCTTTGCTGAATGGCTGGTAGGGCATGTCTTTAAATTTCTCAGGGACCGCACAAGGACCCCAGCCGGATGGGTTGTCCTGGATCACAGGGGCGTGGAACTTCGCCATGGCCTGAAGACAGAGGGGAAACGGAAAAAGACGACAAACCCTATGAGACCAAACATTAAAAACCTTCTGGGACTAGCTGACTGATGGTACACATGCAGGGTCTCAGGCAATGAGCAGCACTGATTTCTTCAGCAATGCACTAAAAGAAACAGGCATTGATCAGCTTGCGCAGTGGGCTAGTCATCACTGACCCCTGAAAGTCAACTCCATGATTTATGGCTATAAGACAACATATTAAAACAGTGACGGGATTCTTCAGTTAAACAAATTTTCGTTTTAGTTCCACTGATTGTTAAAACCGAATTGCAATAATTATTTTCTTTACAACAATTGCCTTGTTTGAGTTTTTATTTCATTTATCTCCTGCATAATTAGCCAATATAAGTAAGTCTTTGGGATAGTTTCTTCCCACATTTCTCTTTTCTTTAGGTGGTGGATCTAACTGATGGTTCGTTGTGGTTGGCCCCTTCTCAATTTTTTTTAATTTTTTATCATTCAATGCTTTTAATGTGTCTTGCTGTATTATTTCCCACCATCTATCAACAAAGAGATTTTGGATCCCTTTGACAAAAACAGAAAGAGAATTCTGGTACATGAGTGCCTAAAAAGTACTTACATAGCTCGTGAATCAGTCATTACAGCTGTATGATCAACATAGGATGCTGCAGTACAACACTTGGGATCCTATGGTACAAACTGTTGCCTAAGCATGTAACAAACACCTTTTGAGCTATTAGCGTGGGTGGAGGGTGTCTCTGTTACTCTATAATTAAATCAGCAGGGTGCCCTGGGGTTTCTATACCACAATGCTGCTTAATTACAATAAAGCAAAACAGAAGGGCTTTTGAACAAAAATGAATGTGTGTGGATGCACCCCAAATGATTTTAGTGTGGGGCAGCTTGACCTGTAGAAATCCGGGCTACTTTTGACACTCAAGGCTCAGTTACAGCACAGCCAATGCTGCATGCCCCACAGACATGAACCACAGGCCACAAATACAGTATTTAAATGGTTTAAATGTTGATTGACCCACATGTGGGACATCTGGGCCATTTCAGATGGACCTGAGGTTGCATTCATGTTAACATACTTATCTTGAGTCAAGCCTAAATGTAGGCCAAAGGAAGCTGCAAATGTGGGCCACAGCTGGGTCAAATATTTCTTTGTAAGGTTTAGGTGGTACAGTTAAAAAAAACAGAGTAAAGGAAGCGGTACTGTGTTGAGGGAACGCCCTTCATGATAACATCTAGCATGCTCCCACCAACAAAGAACCGCTCTGTGGCTAAAATAAAACATCCCCTACTAACTCGGTGTCTTTTAAGACCGATGAACAAATACCAATCGAGACAATCTCCAAAGCAGATTGAGTGCGCAGTAGGCCTGACGTGGATCATTTCATCATCCAGTAATGCTGCATTAAAGTTGGTAACATAAAGTAATAATCGGTGCTCACTGCTGGTACATTTACGATTCTAAGATTTCAACCATAAGGACGTCCAAGAACATTATTTTATCGTTTGATTTGATGTTTAAGATTTGTGATATTAAAAACTAATAAATGGGCTCTTTACGGGCTTTCGGTAGCCAACTGGTAATAATCGCTGCTTAAAAACTAGACATACTGAGACTAAACGCACAGTTGCCAACTTGAGATCAGCCAGTGTAATTATTTAAAAGAAATAGAGCAGCATTGAAAAGCTTTTTCTGCACCGTTAGCTCACTGTGGCTAATGCTAACCCTAGGCACCGCCAGGTGGTCATGCTAGCAATGCTAAGCTAACCGGGCGGAGGGCGTCACGCGTGTAAACACAAATCTCTGATATTTGACTGAAAATGCTGCTAAAAACGGGCGCTTTTCACACGTCTATGCGTGCTTTCTCTGCTCTTACCGTGAATTCTGTGTCAGTATATGGAGTCTTTTAATCCAGCAGTTCCTCTGACGCTGCTCTGCCCCAACACAGCGCCGGTATGAAAGGAAGTGCGAAGTGCCGTATAGCGCAGTGTTTCCTGCAGTGTTACAGCAGCAGCCGACATAGTACGTCAGTTTTACGTCAGTTTTTTTTTTTTTTTTTTTACCGTCGTCTGAAATGAGCGTTCCCTAAAAAAATAAAATAACTGCTATTTTTACATTACATGAAAAAGAAAAAGAAAAATACAGGTTAATGTATGTAATTTTAATAATTAATTAGGCCAAAGAGCAAATAAATGGTTGAATGGCCCTTTGAAATGCTACTCTCAAATTCTATGCTTATGAAGTTTAATTTTCAATATTGTTACAGAGAAATACAACAATCATTCATACAGATATACTGTAGATCTTTGGATGTTGTATAATTTTGCATATTACTACATTTTTAGCCAATTTTAT